TCTGCTAATAGACACTGTGATGCACTGATTACACCTTAGTGTATATTCACACAGATTTTTTTTTTCTTATTCGCCGGTACTCTCCCGGCCCGGGTCTTTTCCAAGTAGTGGTGACCCGGCCTTGGCTCCCTATCTGGGGAGTATCTCGAGACCTAAGTCTCCCATGATAGGAGATACTAGTACCCCTTCATCTTTGGGACCAAGTGTCCCCAGGCCTAGCCACTGTCCCCGCCCTCACGGGGCTCGTAGGGAGAAGCTCGGCCTCTGGTCTGCCATCTGCCCCGCCCCAAAGGGGCTCGTGGGGATGGCAGTCTTATGAGCTGCAGGTGATAGCAAGCTCAAGCCTACACAGATATGTATCTATCATTAAATAACAAAAAAAGGCATGTATGTATGTATATATCATTATATAAATATGTGTGTGTGTGTGTGTGTGTGTACTTATCTATTTGTGGTTGCAGGCGTTGATTCATGGCTCCTGGCTCCGCTTTTTCACTGATTGCTACTAGGTCCTCTCTCTCCTTGCTCCATGAGCTTTATCAAACCTCGTCTTAAAACTACGTATGGTTCCTGCCTCCACTACGTCACTTTCTAGGCTATTCCACTTCCTGACAACTCTATGACTGAAGAAATACTTCCTAACATCCCTTTGACTCATCTAAGTCTTCAACTTCCAATTGTGACCCCTTGTTTCTGTGTCCCATCTCTGGAACATCCTGTCTTTGTCCACCTTGTCAATTCCTCGCAGTATTTTATATGTCGTTATCATGTCTCCCCTAACCCTCCTGTCCTCCAGTATCGTCAGGCCGATTTCCCTTAACCTTTCTTCGTAGGACAATCCCCTTAGCTCTGGGACTAGTCTGGTTACAAACCTTTGCACTTTTTCTAATTTCTTGACGTGCTTGACCAGATGTGGATTCCAAACTGATGCTGCATACTCCAGTATAGGCCTGACGTATATGGTGTGTGTGTGTGTGTGTAATAACACACTTCGGCTAGCCGGGGGATCGATCCCGTGTTGTTTTAGTTCGCCTCGTGAGACGCAAGTCAAAATTTACGACTCTGTAACCATTGGACCAGAAAATCCTACAAACATCATGAACCTAACGAACTAGGTTTTCTTCATGATGTGATGCTGTAAGTCGGTGCAGCGACCTCAGAGCCGATTTCATTCTACTCCCCGTTTGATATACCACCATTTACAAGCAGTACATATATTAATAACAAAAATGCACAATACCGTGAATGGAGCCATACACAAAAATCCCGCACATAGAAGAGAGGAGCTTACGAAACGTTTCGGTCCAACTTGGATCATTTACAAAGTCACACTAACAAAAAGGAGAGGAGGGAGTATATATAGGCCAGCAGACACTGACGAACAGACACACGGGAGGCTGACTCATTTGTACATTTCCACTCCCTTCTGGGAAGGAGGGGTAGGGGTCGTTCCAGGAAGAGATGAAGGAAGGGGGGTAAAGGAAGGTTTGTGTACAAGGGGGCTTGGACATATAGCAGGCATGTGTGAGCGTGTTAAATAGGAGTGGAGACGAATGGTTTTTGGGACTTGACGAGCTGTTGAAGTGTGAGCAGAGCAATATTTTTTGAAGGGATTCCGGGAAACAGGTGAGCCGGACTTGAGTCCTGGAGGTGGAGAGTACAGTGCCTGCACTCTAAAGGAGGGGGTTGGGATATTTACTGTTTAGAGTGACATCTGTTCTGTCGTATCTACTCGTCTCTGGCAAGACAGTAATAGTATTAATGTTTTAATGATGGTGAAAGTGTTTCTTTTTTCGGATCACCTTGTGGAAGACGGCCAATATAATATATATATATATATATATATATATATATATATATATATATATATATATATAATATATATATATATAATATATATATATATATGTCGTGCCGAATAGGCAGAACTTGCGATCTTGGCTTAAATAGCAACGCTCATCTTGCCATATAGGACAAGCGAAAATTTGTGTATGCAATAATTTCGCCAAAATCATTCTTAACCTAACGAAAAAAATATATTTCACTGTGTTTGTTTAGTATTAAATTATTGTAAACAAATCTAAAATATATTTAGTTGGGTTAGGCTAAAATAAATTGCACTTGCTATAATAAGGTTAGGTAAGTTTTCTAAGATTTTTTTGGTGCAAAATTAAAATTTTTTACATTAACATTAATGAAAAAAATATATCTTTAAACGTATAAGAGAAAATTTTAGAAAGGACTTAATTTTAAATGAGTTCTTGCTAATTGACCAGTTTTACATATTCGGCACGACATATATATATATATATATATATATATATATATATATATATATATATATATATATATATATATATATATATATATAATATATATATATATATATATATATATATATATAAAATATGCAAAACAACCACTCTGAAAGAATAGAGAAATTCCAAGCGCTTTCGTGACTACTCACATTATCAAGGAACTATGAAAGTAAAGCACGACTTCTTCTCAAACATAGGATCTAATCTCGCCAGTAAAATCCCACATACCAATGCCCATGCCGGGGACTACCTAGATGGAAACTTCCCTAATTCCTTCTATCTTGCACCAACTGAGCCCACGGAAGTCATTGAGATCATAAAGTCACTTAAAAATAACTCGGGGAATCTGTCTCATGTCCCACCATTACTGTACAAGCGAGCGGCCCATGTCCTTTCGCATGCTATTTCATTACTTTTTAACAAGTCAATAGAGACTAGCACCTTCCCGAAAGTACTCAAGATGGCAAGGGTTACACCAATACATAAAGGTGGTGACCCTACAGACTTAAACAACTATAGGCCAATATCTAACTTACCATTGCTATCCAAAATCTTTGAGAAACTCGTGCACAGGAGACTGTATTCATTTATAACGGCTCAAAACATACTCAACCCCTGCCAGTTTGGATTCAGGAAAAATAAAAGCACTAATGATGCAATCATAAAAATGCTAGATCTGCTTTACACAGCATTGGAAAATAAGGAATATCCACTAGGAATTTTTATTGACCTAAGAAAAGCTTTTGACACAGTAGACCACGACATCCTACTCCACAAACTTGATCACTACGGTATAAGAGGCCATGCGCTTGCTTATTTCAAATCTTACATTACTAATAGGTATCAGTACGTCACCATTAAAGACAGCATCAGCAACACGGCCACTTGATACTGGAGTTCCGCAAGGAAGTGTCCTTGGTCCCCTGCTCTTCCTCATATACATCAATGACCTTCCAAACGTATCCCAACACCTGAAACCCATTCTCTTTGCTGATGACACGACTTATGTCATCTCTCACCCTAATCTTGCCACCCTCAACACCATTGTGAATGAGGAGCTGATTAAAATATCGACTTGGATGACAGCCAATAAACTTACGCTTAACACTGACAAAACCTACTATATTATGTTTGGTAGCAGAGCAGGAGATGCACAAATTAACATTAAGATTGACAACACTCTAATTACCAGAAATAATGGGGGAAAATTCCTAGGCTTATACCTTGACAACAACCTGAATTTCAGCACCCATATCCAGCATATAGCCAAAAAAGTATCCAAAACGGTTGGGATCCTCTCCAAGATACGATACTACGTGCCGCAAAATGCCCTTCTCACACTATACCACTCACTTATTTATCCATACCTCACCTATGCTATTTGTGCTTGGGGATCAACTGCAGCAACACACCTAAAGCCAATAATAACCCAACAAAAAGCTGCAGTAAGAATAATCACTAAATCCCATCCCTGGCAACACACCCCCCCACTCTTCATAGATCTAAACTTACTCCCAGTTCAGTACATTCACACTTACTACTGTGCAATCTACATCTACAGGGCCTTAAACTCTAATATCAACCTTGACCTAAAACGCTTTCTTGATAGTTGTGACAGAACCCACAGGCATAACACCAGACACAAACATCTCTACGACATTCCCCGTGTCCGACTAAACCTTTACAAAAATTCAATGTATGTCAAAGGCCCTAAAATCTGGAATACCCTACCTGAGAACTCTAGAACTGCAGACACATTCATCACCTTCAAAACTACCATTAGAAAACATCTTATCTCCCTGATACACCCCGTCAACTAACTACACGAATACCACCTGGTGGTTCACACTTACACTCACTCACTCATTTGACCATAAACAGAAACATTAATCTCAGTCTTAAAATAATGAATCCTGTGATACTCCAATACTGAAACTATGTACTGTGCCAAAACAAAAGCATTCACATTGCTAAACTCACAAACTAGTATTTAGTCACTTAGCCATAATACCAACTTACCTCATAATTTGTAATATTTTACAATTACGAATAAAACTAAGTATGCCCGAAATGCCTAGCCATGCTAAGCGTTCTAGTGGTACACTCTGTAATCACAATTTTACTACATGTAAACCAAACAATAACCAAATTTCTGTAAACTCAGCATTGTAATCCTTATAGAGAATAAACTTTGAATTTGAATTTGAATTTGAATCCAAGGAAGCTATATAAGGGGTCTGGCCAACACCTCACTATCAGATCCCACAACGGTGAGGTGTTGGCCAGACCCCTTATATACCTTCCTTGGATGCTTTACTTTCATAGTTCCTTGATAATGTGAGTAGTCACGAAAGCGCTTGGAATTTCTCTATTCTTTCAGAGTGGTTGTTTTGCATATTCTGAAATCACCTGTTTACTGTGATCTTATTGCATATATATATATATATATATATATATATATATATATATATATATATATATATATATATATATATATAATATATATATATATATATATATATATAAACTGAAATGTACATCTCAGTGTATATGCTGAAGTGTATATACACTGAGATATACCACTCTGTACATACCCTTGTTACCAAAAAAAAAAAATCCAGGTGAGGTGTTGACGAGGGCGGGGGGGGGGTGTCCAAGGGTATATAACACCCACCGCCATCACACCATCAGTTAGTGACTAGCGCGTTGGCAGTGTGCATGTAATACCTTCACTTCCTCTTTTGTTTTTAGCAGCTTTCGTATATATATATATATAGAAAAAACAGACGCTCCAATAAAGGAAGACGCAATGGCGAACGAAGGCATAAATATTAAGTGGCCGGACATCCTGGTTTTGGTCCTCTATTTTGTCTTCGTACTGGTTGTTGGGCTAATAGTAAGTCTTCAGATATCCTAGTATGTCTTCAAATATCCTAGTATGTCTTCAGATATCCTAGCATGTCTTCATATATCCTAGCATGTCTTCAGATATCCTAGTATGTCTTCAGATATCCTAGTATGTATTAAGCTAACTTAGCATGTCTTCAGCTATCCTAGTATGTCTTAGATATCCTAGTATGTCTTAGATATCCTAGTATGTCTTAGATATCCTAGTATGTCTTAGATATCCTAGTATGTCTTCAGATATCCTAGTATGTATTAAGCTAACTCAACATGTCTTCAGCTATCCTAGTATGTCTTAGATATCCTAGCATGTCTTCAGCTATCCTAGTATGTCTTAGATATCCTAGCATGTCTTCAGCTACCCTAGTATGTCTTAGATATCCTAGCATGTCTTCAGCTATCCTAGTATGTCTTAGATATCCTAGCATGTCTTCAGCTATCCTAGTATGTCTTCAGATATACTAGTATATCTTCAGCTATCCTAGTATGTATTAAGCTAACTTAGCATGTCTTCAGCTATCCTATTATGTCTTCAGCTATCCTAATATGTCTTCAGATATACTAATAAGTCGTATTATGTTGATGGTTTATAAAGATATGATGATACAGATGAATAAGTCACATGTACCACACTTGGGTATCTTTATTGTGGAGACGTTCCGCCAACCACTGGTTCTGTCGATCTCATACGGAGAAGAAATAGTGTAAGACGTGAAAATGTAATTTGAGATAAGTTCCACAGCCTTGATAATTCAGACGGACAACACATATCAATTGAGGTTGACGGACTGATCACCTCGACACGTCTCGCACCGTTTCTCTGTGTGACTGATACAGCCCCACGTGTTGAACGAAGTCTCATTCATCCTAGTAACTCTTCGGATATTCCAATAAGTTTTCACTTATAAATTATGGGCTTTTTTTTTGTGCAGGGCATTTTATTTATGTTGGCCTTTACCACAAAAGAATAACATCTAGTAATAAGTTTGAATTTCGTTTATTAATAAAAATTAACCAAATATACAGTAACGCCAATATGTGAAATAATACAGAGGCGATTAAATGCCCTTAAACAAGCACCCATCCAGCGTACTCCAGAATTATCAGTGTAATCACTGTTTAAGGTTCATAAAGTCACCCATTCGACTGTCTTAGCAGTAGTGAAATACTGACTTTGATTTGGATGATGGGTTGATATTAATAATAACAAGGTAAGTGCTAAGATGGTGGGTTGAACAGACATGATATTTTTAGTGAAATAATACACATTAGCAGTTCAACACTTGCTACCCCTCAAGGAAGGTTCCTTGATGTTGGTGAGGGGCTCTTGATTTAGGGAATTGGATCTGTGCTCCAGTTCCCCGAATTAAGCCTGAATGCCTTCCACATCCCCCCCAGGCGCTGTATAATCCTACGGGTTTAGCGCTTCCCCTTTGATTATAATAATAATAAACACTTGCTAGAACATCTACAGTAAGAGTTTACCTTATTCCTTATTTTAGGAATTTAAGTATCCTTAAGTGGTGGTGCGCTTGTAACTTGCAGTATTAATGACTCGTGTAGCTGTTAAGCTTTAATACTTATAATCCAACTAATCAACCTCTTTAAGGGGCACGTAAGTTCCCTCGTCTTCTAATAACAAGTTCATTTTTCTACTATAATCTACCCTGTCCGTAATTACTATCACATTTGCTTTGTCTCTTTCGTAAGGTGAAGTTACTATCTTTACTTAATTCATGGTATAACTTAGATCTTTGAGGACAGGTGTTGTTGTAGAGGTCTGAGCTTTGTTATTAGAAGACGGGAAGTTACGTGCTTCTTAACGAAACCCACCACAAACCTAACGCACTTTTCTCACCTTTGATCAAGGAACAGGAGTGATAGGCTGTATATCTCAACCTCCAAGATTCTCTTCCACCTATTACCCCTCAGGGAAGGGTCCTTGACGCTGGTGAGAGGCTCTTGCTCTAGGGAATTGGATCTGTGCTCCAATTCCCAGAATTAAGCATGAATACGTTCCATCCCCTCCCCACAGGCATTGTATAATCCCTACGTGTTTAGTGATTATAATAATATAATTCAACCTATTACTCTTTTTTTTTTGCTGTGTGTTTGAATCTCAGGTATAATGATCCGCTCCATAGGTGATTAAGAACATCTTGAAAATTGTCAATGCTTAAACAGTTATTTTTGTCATGCTCAAGGTCATAGCATGTGCTAGTATGTGATTATTATATTAAGGAGGCGAGCGCTAGACTCTGATCATATCATCTGGGGAAAAGGAGGCATTCATGTTTGATTCAAGAGTAGGTCTAATTCCTTGGATCAAGAGCCTCTCACCGGCTTCAAGAAACATTTCTTGAGAGTAGAGCATGGTGTTAACACAATGTGCAAGTTATGGTAGTTTTTACACATTTCTTCCGCCAGGGACTTTATCAGTTAATGAATTGATAAGGTCCTGGAGAACAAAGCATCTTTTAATAAAATATCCTAACCCGCATACTGTCATTATCGTCAACCTGTTAGTATATATTACCATTTAATATACTGATGTATTAGAGCACTTGGCTCTTCACTGCTGGCGTGGGGCTGCTGAGACCAGGTTAGGTTAACTAATGTTTGTCAGGAAACAGGACAAGTGTTTACTGACGTGGGTCTTGGTCATATGATGACCCACAGCTGGAGCTTTTGGTCATCCGACCGAGGATTTTCGCTGGCTTACCCGTCCACCCTTTATATATTATACTTACGATTATAACAATTTGCTGAGACCAGATAACATAAGAATAGCGGAGCATAACAGTATACCTACTGGTCTTAACTAGGCACATCTTTCTCAAACCCAACCTTCTACTTGGCAGATTGTTCCACTCATCAACAACTATTTCCAAACCAGTTTTTTTTTTTTTTTCATTTTTTCTAAATCTGAATATATTCAACTTGAAACCGTTATTTCGAGTTATTTCTTGATTTGATATCTTTATCATCCGTTTTATATCTCCTGTATACCTGTCTTCCACTTGTATACTCTAAACATATCTCCCCTTATCCTACGTCTTTCAAGAGAGTCTAGTTTCAGGGCTCAATATATCTTCGTATGGAATATCACCTATGTTTCTAACAAATTTATATCCAACTGTATCCATGAGGCCTTACTAATGATGTGTAGAGCTGTAGAACCTTTGGACTTGTCGCTTATACGTCTTGATATACTGTAAATTCAAACAATTTGTTAGCTTTATTATAGATGCTTAGAAACAGTCAGCTTTCTGTTTCCCATAACTCCCAAGTCTTTTACTATGGTCTACTGCCTCAAATACCTTGTTGAAGAAAAATAATGTTTCAGGGAAGAGCGTCCCCTTCTGAATCAAATTATGATCAAGGAGGCTTCAAATTATATCCACTACAAATGAATGAAGTCAGGCTGATTGGAGGTAATTGTGGCAAAGATTTCTCTCTTGTTTTGTAGATAGGAATCACACAGGCCATCTTCGACGTATCAGATAAGATACTCATTTGCAGTGATGTACTGAACAGACTAGTTAGCGGCTTACTAAGCTCCTTGAAAACAGTTCCCCGGGACCTGGGGACTTGAATTGCTTTAACCTAACTACTTTTGTTTAATAATAATTTCTAAGTGTGACTTGATACAGGAACTGGAGCTGCCTTTCCCTTGAATGAGACCTGATTACCTCATTCCCAGGCGCTGTATGTGACCCCTTATGGGTTTATCGCTTTCCCATAACTATAAAGGAAATATGGCGGATAAGAAGCAACCGGCATACGATGCCATAAAACAGAAGGTGGTGTTGCTAGCAGGACGCCATTGTGGTAGACGGTTCTATGGATGGCAGCAGCAGCGCATCCTCTTAATAACAGGCAGAATTTTCACTGTTGCTAAGATAGTGTAACGAGTCTTAAATGACCTCAGCATAGGTAATATATTATGCAGAGTGGGACAGAAGTCCTTAATTTTTTATACACATACAGAGAAATAGTACCGACCAACATATCCCTCTACCCACATTATCACGAAAGTATCACGTAGTTTACATAGAAAGGAGTGAAATGAGTAGGCTGAGAGGGTCAGAACCTTGGAAATTTTAGGACGAGGCATTATCTGGGGTAGAAAATGTTAACAGAGATACTGAACAAACTAATAGATAAAGTTATGGAGTTTAGAGATGAAAGAGGGACAATAAACTGGAAAGGCATGAAAATAATTTTATAAAATGTTGTAATTATTAGTTTATAACAGCTAAAATACTCTTACCAAGTACAGAGTCCGTGATGGTGGTGGTAATGGGATTACTAGCTAAAACTGTATTTGTCTTTCCACAGTCTTCCTGGAAAATTAAGAGAGGCAGCATCTCCAGCTACTTCCTCGCTTCTCGCAATATGCACTGGATACCCGTAAGTCTCTTGTCTCTTAAGAGTATCACACCGAATTATAATTTCCTTCGACAGTCCCTAGATACACCAGTAAGTCTGTCCATGCCTCTTAAATAATGTTATATATTTGTAAATTTCTACGACAGTTACTAGATACCTGAAAAATGTTTCAAAATCTTAAGTTTCAAACCAATAAATCACTGTGAATTGCTCAAAATACCCTCAAAACTGCTTTAAAGAAATCAGTGAATCTTTTAAGCAAAAATAGGACTATCGTGGAAGTCAATGGATGATATGCAATTGGATCTGGCCAGTAAATGGATGGATGGGTTACCATGTGAACACAGCCTTAGATTTATCTAGTCAGATTATTATTATTATTGTTATTAATATTATCTAATGTTCCACACCCACTTTGATGTTTCCATACACAACTGATGGCCCACACTCATACCCACATTAATCTTGCCTATACTAATGCCCCTATCCATACTGTTTCCTCTACACACATTGATACCACTGTCCACAATAACCACTGTTTTTCCCCCCAGGTGGGTGCATCACTCTTCGCCAGTAACATTGGGTCAGGTCACTTTATCGGGCTGGCGGGATCAGGAGCAGCCTCGGGTATTGGAATCGGTGCTTTCGAATTAAACGTAAGGATTCATTCCACGTTTCGTTAGCGTTTTTTAGTTTCACACTTGAGCGAAACATTGTGCAATAAAGGCTCCCCTTGCAAAGTATTTCTGGTTTTATCCCATTAGATCTTCAGGCAGTTTACTTGCTGGTACTGTTAAGGGGTTGTTTAGTTCTATGTAAACTTAACGTTCTTGACACTTTCAGATAACAAAACGGCACAATACAGCGACTAGAACAATACATAAATAACCTGCACATTGGAGAGAGAAGTTTATGGCGACGTTTCTGTCCGATTTTAGCCATTTACAAGTCACACTAACACACGAAGGTGAGGCTTCCCTCACCTTCGTGTTATTGTGACTTGTAAATGGTCCAAGTCGGACCGAAACGTCGTCATAAGCTTTCTCTCTCCAATATGCGGGTTATTTGTGCAATTTCATAGTTTACGTGCTGAAGTGGGTGTGCGTCCTGATGTCGATGTGTGTTTAGTATACACCTAATTTTCTTCACTTTTTCAGGCAGTTTTCGTGCTGATGTTACTAGGTTGGGTGTTCGTGCCAGTGTACATGAGCTCAGGTGTGTACACAATGCCAGAATACCTAAGAGAGAGGTTTGGAGGCCAGAGAATCAGAGTCTACCTCTCCTGCCTCGCTCTCCTCCTCTCCATCTTCACCAAAATATCCGTAAGCATGTTGTTCCCACATGACTTCATATATATTATAAACGCTGAACCCTAGGGGTCAAATAAAATCACACATATGCACAAAAAAATTGATACCAACATATTTTACAGGCCAAGATGGCAACAAACATCCCATATAAATACCTAAGTACAAATGTTGATGGCTTCAGGTCACATTACACATACTGTATATCCTTTATGGTTCAATCAGGACCTTCAAAATTCGGCTCTGCATGATGCCAAGGAGAGATACGGACTTCTGTCACACTACAAACTCTGACTGGTGACTTAGAGTGACAGTCCACACAGCCTAGCTCAGGTGCGCCCTCTCGCGGCTGACACCCGCTAGCTGTTCCCCTTCAAGGGGATATTATTAATATAATCATAGCCAAGCGTTAAACCCATAAGGGCCATACAGCGCTGCTTCAAGGAGACACACTAATACGAGTAAAGGGCTCTTGATCCGAGAAACTAAAGCTACCTTGGGTCAAACATGATTACTTTCAATTCCAGGCGCTATATGACCTCTATGAGTTTAGCGCTCCTCTGTGAATATTATAATATTTGCAACAATTTGTTGAGAGATTTCACACATTCTCTTTTATTTAACTACCAATTACAATCTCTTAACGCCAAAACACCTATTTTTCAAATGCCTATTTTTTTTAGGTGTTGCTATGTTATATTAATTGTCTGCTTCTTTTTATTTCTTGTTGAAAATTCACCAGAACAATAACAGCAGTCAGTCAGTTGTTGTCGGTTGAAACTTTCAAGAATTTTTGGTGGACCTCATTGCAAGACAAACTTAAATTACTGTTGTTTTAAGACCTTTCTTCATCTTCACAATTATTACGACTTTGATAGAGTTTGTGAAACAAGTCAATTTGTTTTACTTGACTACGTTATCATAGGTAATTTACTCGTATGTAACTGTGTAAGACAATTGTAAAAAAAATCAGAACTTGTGTAATGAACCTAAGTAAATTTACTGTTACAGGCTGACCTGTATGCGGGGGCACTGTTCATCCAGCAGACACTGAACAAGAACAGTGAGGAGTGGATGTATATTAGCATCTTGATCCTGTTGGCCATAGCTTCTATCTTCACTATCTCAGGGGGGCTCACGGCTGTCATCTGGACAGATTTTGTGCAGACCATTCTTATGGTCGTTGGTGCCCTCATCCTCATGGGCATGAGTGAGTATAAGCGTGTAGTCTCCTGTTCGTTGTTGCAGGGGCAGAGTCACAGCTCCTGGTTCCACCTCTTCGATGTCGCTTTATCATGTTTGCCTAAGTGAGGGTGTACGATTAGAGTCCCAGCTCCTGACCCTTCTTAATTAATGGTGACCAAATTTACTCTTAGCCTTGTGGACCTTATAGTTTCATCCTAAAGTTGTATATAGAATTTGCCTTCCCCACTTTATCCACGTTGTTCCACTATCTACCACACTGAGGCTGAAGAAGTGTTTACAGATATGTCTGTGACTTACATATTTGTATCTTTAATTTGCAACTGTGCCTACACGTATTTTATTCGTATTCTGTTTGTTAGCTAATAATACCATAATACATATTGTGTGTTAATGTAACCAAGTAAATTTTGTTACAATGTAAGCACATATTTTTATAAGCAATATAACGCATATTTTGTTAGCAATATAACCACCATATTTTGTTAGCAATATAACCACGCATATTTTGTTTGTTATCAATGTAACCATGCTGATTTTTTTGATCATGTTTTAATATCAACAATGTAGCCAAACAAAACTAGCTCAGAATATAAGACTCACAACATTACATGTTTCATCGTCTCCAGTATCTTTGTCTTGCACTGGATCATTGGTAATCGTCGAAAAAAATATTTTCCCCTGACTTATGTTACTAATAATGCTAACACACCTCCATCCCTTGGTCGCGAAGCTTTCCATGAAGTGGGTGGATACAATGCTCTGGTGGAGAATTATTTCGACGCCATACCCAACATGACCAGATACTCTCAAACAGACAGTAATATTAACTGTGGGGAGCCCCCTGGCTACGCCATGCACTTCTTCAGATCCATTAAGCCCGGGGAATCGGACATGCCATGGACAGGCATGATCTTCGGCATCACCATCTCCGGCATCTGGTACTGGTGCACTGACCAGGTGACTAACATTTGTCTGTGGTAAAGAGTCTTACTGGTTTTTTCCCTTCATTGGTTTTTTTCCTTCATCTTGGTTCGCCTGCAGGAATACCAATTCATTATTGACGCATTGGAGTATACTGAGCCCTTGTTAGTGAGAGGATAATACTCACATATAGAAAGAATATAGAGTAATAGGTTCACAGATAACCTGCATATAGAAACTGTTAACGACGTTTCGGTCGTTATAAATTTCTTTCTCCACTGTGCGGGTTATTTGTGTATTATTCCAGTCACGGTATTGTGCCTTTTTATTTTATTTTATTTTTTTTAGTAATAGGTTGTCTGTATATTTCGATCTCCAACTGAAGTCCTCCTGCCTCAGTTGTAGGTTGAAATGTATAGATAACCTATCACTTGTTTCTATCTCCATGTGAGCATTGACCTCTTACCAATTCAGATTCAGAGAATATTCATAAACCTAATTTATACTTATGTTTATGATTATTTTTCCACAAGATTACAGTCCTGTTTGCCTTTGATCCTCTTATTTTTTTGTGAATGTTTGTGAATTTTGCACCAGTAGTAATCAACGTTAATGTTTTCTTTGTTTTAGAATGCTTGGTGTAGTCTGGTGGATGTTTGTGGCATTTGGTTTAGCTTTCTGTATGTCCAGGATTATTGAGTACCTTCTCGCACCCCATCCATGGACACAATCTCCCTTCATACAACTTGAGACACTTATTTTCACTTCTAATTATATATACACTGCTTCCGATAAGTTTGATCAGGAATAAAGGAGGTATTACCATCCTATCTCCACTAGCCTTCAACGAGGTTGGGGGCTACAACAGATTGATCACGGATTACTTCAAGGCCGCCCCATCCAAGGTGTTATACGACAAAAACAATGAAGTATGCCCTAACAGTCTTCCTCCTCCCTATGCAATGAATTTCTTCAGGCCTATCATTGGGTCAGACCTCCCGTGGCCAGGTGTGTTGTTTGGTGTGACAATTGGGTCCATCTGGTATTGGTGCACTGACCAGGTTAGTTGGTTTGCTCATTCTAAGGCCTGTCAACTGAGAGAATTATTACGGCTATTTCTCTCATGCAAACTAACATCAGCAATACTTTATGCCACTAAAATAAAAATTAAAATAAACTGTAAATACGCTGACACATCTTTCAGTATACTCTGTGTATACCGACAAGGTATCAACATACTTAACCTTCAAATGATGAATCGCTATACTAATCGCATAATGGAATCATTTTTCACGAATGTATCCTACTAAATGTTTTGTACTAACTGACGAGGCACCTTGAAAACTGACTAATTATTTAATATAACTGTTATATTTAGTGGATAATTTGCCTCTAATCGTACTGCAAATGAAATTCTTTGACAAACGAGAAAACACAATAACTCAGAGTTTATCATAACGTGTCAAGAGTGTACTCTCACATGTCATCAAACCGAAAATAGGCCATACTGAATATACTGATTTTTTTTCCTGGTTTCGTTGGTTAATTGGACTTAAAACTTATCGACTACTAGTACATAGGATCATTTACGCTGCATATTACCTATTCACTACCAGTCAAGAATCCTATAATCCCAAAAATAAGATTAAATTCCTCTCAGCATATGTACACTTGTTGAGAGTAAGACACATGTGCAACATCTGGGTATCTTTATTGTAGACGTTTCGCCATCCAGTGGCTTTATCAATACAAATTCTAGGACATAACTTGAAGACAGTAGAACTATGTACAGAAGATGAGGTAATCAGTCCCTCAAACTAGGAGTAGGTGCGAACAGCACCATAGCCGTGGAGATTCTGAAGCAGAAGAAAGAATCCTGGCGCTTATATAGTAACGTCAGGTGTAGCAGACGAGGGCATATTCACTGGTAGGCGGGATTCCCCAGTGGAAGTAGGTCCTTCCCAAAGAGATGGGTTAGTTGTAGAAGTAGTTGTCGTAGTCGTGAAGGTTATGTACATGTCCTCAGAATTAAGATTCCATGATGTTGCAGTGTCTGACAAGTTGTGTACGAAATGGTATATAATACCGACAAGATGAGAGTAAGACACATGTGCAACATCTGGGTATCTTTATTGTAGACGTTTCGCCATCCAGTGGCTTTATCAATACAAATTCTAGGACATAACTTGAAGACAGTAGAACTATGTACAGAAGATGAGGTAATCAGTCCCTCAAACTAGGAGTAGGTGCGAACAGCACCATAGTCGTGGAGATTCTGAAGCAGAAGAAAGAATCCTGGCGCTTATATAGTAACGTCAGGTGTAGCAGACGAGGGCATATTCACTGGTAGGCGGATTCCCCAGTGGAAGTAGGTCCTTCCCAAAGAGATGGGTTAGTTTTTAGAAGTAGTTGTCGTAGTCGTGAAGGTTATGTACATGTCCTCAGAATTAAGATTCCATGATGTTGCAGTGTCTGACAAGTTGTGTACGAAATGGTATATAATACCGACAAGATGAGAGTAAGACACATGTGCAACATCTGGGTATCTTTATTGTAGAACGTTTCGCCATCCAGTGGCTTTATCAATACAAATTCTAGGACATAACTTGAAGACAGTAGAACTATGTACAGAAGATGAGGTAATCAGTCCCTCAAACTAGGAGTAGGTGCGAACAGCACCATGGTGCTGTTCGCACCTATCCTAGTTTGAGGACTGATTACCTCTTTCTCTGTACAGCACCATGGTTGGTTCGCACCTACTCCTAGTTTGGAGGTACTGATTACCTCATCTTCTGTACATAGTTTCAACTGTCTCAAGTTAGTCCTAGAATTTGTATATAAAGCCACTGGATGGCGAAACGTCTATAATAAAATACCCAGATGTTGCACATGTGTCCTCTATCTTGTCGGTTTAAAACCCTTTCGTACACAATCTGTCAGACAATGCAACATCATGGAATCTAATCTGAGGACATGTACAAAAACCTTCACGATACGAAACTATTCTACAACTAACCCTCTCTTTGGAAGGACTACTTCACGGGGAATCCCGCCTACCAGTGAATAGCTCGTCTGCTACACCTGACGTTCTATATAAGCGCCGGGATTTTTCTTCTGCTTCAGAATCTCCACGACTATGGTGCTGTTCGCACCTACTCCTAGTTTGAGGGACTGATTACCTCATCTTCTGTACATAGTTCTACTGTCTTCAAGTTATGTCCTAGAATTTGTATTGATAAAGCCACTGGATGGCGAAACGTCTACAATAAAGATACCCAGATGTTGCACATGTGTCTTACTCTCATCTTGTCGGTATTATATACCATTTCGTACACATATGTACACTTAAAATATGTGCACGTGTCAGAATATATACTGTGAGTAGCTGATTAATGATGGTTTTAGAACGGTAAAATTGGATTTATGCAACACAGCTTTCATTTTCCAAGCAGTTATTCTTCCTGCAAGAAATTACCATGATTCTGTGTAGCTTGGTTGTAAACATGCGGTACCGACAGGTGTGGATATGAAGAGACGGAAAGGGGCATGAATATATTCACTTAGGACATCTTTACTGAAAGCATTTCTGTACTAGAACTCTGATTACTTTAGATACAAGGTCCCAGAATCGAAACGTTTTCAGTAAATATGTTCTTAGGGAACGCATTCGTGTAAATTTTCCTTCAAGTTGTCGGCAGCCTTCTTACCATGTAAAGACACTATGATAGATAAGTTTATCAGGATTACGCTTCCCTTTCTGAAGTTCAGCCGTGAGTGGAACGTAGTCCCACTCACAGCTTGCTAGACATATTGTGGCTTTATACCCATATTTGTGTAGACTGATCATGATGGCATTTTTCCACTGCTTTTGCCCTTCATATAAAACATTCACTCAAACTTCTGTGCATATTATAAAAGGACAAAAATAAGTATAAACCTTGCTCTGAAACTTTTCCTGGATAGCTGCAACAGAACTCATAGGCATATTACAAGACATAAATCTCTTTGATACCCCCAATGTTCAATGCACATAAAAACCTCTAAAATCCGTAACTCGCTGCCCGGAGATTTTAATGGTTCCATATCTGCCAGCAGCTTCAAAGATACTGTTAAAAAGCACCTCCTTACCTTAATGTTATCTTGACAGCAATATACTAAGTCAAATAAATGCTGAAACCTGCTTGTTTTTGTCCAGTTACATCCCTGTACTTTCAGTTTCAACTTTTGCTTTTCTACTCCCATATATTATATGATATGCTACAATCTCTTCTTTCAGACATAGCTGTTGTACTGATAATTAATTGTACATAGTATTATATTTTTCTTTAATTTTCATATCCATGCCTACAGAAATAATTCTCAGGAAGCATATAGTATTTCATTATATTTTAATTTGATTAACTAATAATATCAGTATGAGATATTCATAATAGATTATTTCCAGTGTTGAATCTAGTCAGATAATAAAACCCACTTGTGAATAAGTATGAATGGAAGGGGAGTTATAGGACGGACGTAGCTTTTATAATTTAAAATAAATTTATCGCTGATGAATACTGAATATTTGCTTGCCTTTCCCCTCCAGGTTATTGTACAGAGGACGCTCTCTAGCAAAAATATGGTACACGCTAAGGCTGGCTGCGTTCTGGCTGCTATGATAAAGTTCCTGCCGCTCTTCATTCTAGTATTCCCAGGCATGGGTTCCAGGGTACTCTACACAGACAAAGTGGCCTGTGTGGTCCCGAAGGAATGCAAGAAGTACTGTGGCAGTGAAACAGGATGCACCAATACTGCCTACGTCGAACTCGTTCTTAACCTGTTGCCAACAGGTACGTGGCACTAGTTGAAAATTATTAATTTATGTATTCATTATTAGTAGTTTGCATATATTCTCCTAAAATCAATTTTAAAAGCGTTGCTTGTTGAATTATTTTAAAAACTTATGAAAAATCGTTACAAATTCCAATTTTTCTCATAATACTTTTAATTATAAAAAATATTAAAGACAGCTTTTGAATTCATTGTTTGCTTCAAGTTTATTAAGTAATTATTTTGCGATATTCTCTTAATTATTTTTAATTTAATTAAAGATATTTGTTTCATTTCGTAGACTTGTTTATTACCCTGAATGAACGACCTTGCAAAAATGTACCTAGTGAAATCGGTGGGAATTACTGTTTAGATTATATGCTGTATTTTAATAATGAATGCTTGACGATATAAAATATATGATATATATGAGCTGATAGCTTTCTATTTTGAACTGTAATTATTTCGTATTCCTATTCTTTTTCTGCCTTATGTTTGTAAAACCTGATATATACAAAGTCTTTAAAGTGTACTTGATCATAGTAGGAATAACTTCGAAATAAATGGTATCTGTTCCTCTGTGTAAATGTGCTGTTTTGTAGGGACTTAATGCATCACCTCCGTAGTACGGATCGGCTATTTGGCAACTAAGTCAAGGATAATATGTTTTGTGTCAGTATTATCTTGTAATTCTTGTTTATGATTCGACTGATATTCGAAGATTGTTGCTATATTCCTCTCACTGCTGTGGAAAGAAATATCAGGCTCCCATATCCAAGGATGAACTTAATATTGTCTGATACACTCACAGATCGTTTTGTCCTTCCAGTGTTGACTCAAACCTGGACGTAATGAAAGTGTTGCACCCCAGTGGATTATATTCAAGAAAACGACAGATACAGGTTAAGCTTTTATGTTGACAGTGTTTCGCTCTGTATAGAGCTTTATTCGGTCATTGACTGGAGAAACCTGTACAGTGTAAATTTGTCACAATAAAAACTCCACTGCACCTTTATTTTTTTTAATATTGTAACTAGTCTGTTATCATAAGGAAGCTCTAAACCCTTAGGGGTGATTTAGCTCTCGGGTAAAGGAAGTAATCTGGTTTAATCCAAGAAGGGGGCTTCTATGATGAACATCTCTTCATCAGCATACCCTAGCAGCCTTTGTCACGAGTTATTTGATGTATCTGTTAATCTCACGCTCAGGCTAATTTAGTAGCCGCTAATGATAGCATCTTGAATAATTCTGGTGGAATATTGGCAGTTTAAACAGCCAGTTAATACAATCACATAAAATTTTTTTTTTTTTTTTTTTTTTTTTTTTTTTTATTCGCCGGTATTCTCCCGGCCCGGGTCTTTTCCAAGTAGTGGTGACCCGGCCTTGGCTCCCTATCTGGGGAATGTCTCGAGACTTAGTCTCCCATGGGAGGAGGTACAGTACCTCCTCATCTTTGGGACCAAGTGTCCCCAGGCCTTGCCACATTCCCCGCCCTCACGGGGCTCGTAGAGAGAAGCTAGGCCTCTGGTCTGCCATATACCCCGCCTCAAAGGGGCTCGTGGGGATGGCAGTCTTATGAGCTGCAGATGGTAACAAGCTCAGGCCTCTCTTGACCTTCATAGATAAAATTCTTTCCCTCTGATCAACACAATTTATAAATTTTACGTGTGAGAAATCAAAGTATTTTTTCATATTAATTAAAATAAATCATTATATATGTTTATAATTAGCATTTCTAAATGGAAATGCAATTATATTTTATACAATTTCCTACATATGATTCAATCTTGTCACCAGGATTATCCGGGTTGATGTTGGCTGTGATGATGGCCGCCCTTATGTCTTCCCTCACCTCCATTTTCAACTCCTCCTCGACTATTTTCGCCATTGACATCTGGACGAGGATCCGCAAGAAGGCAACAGACGTGGAGCTCTTGATCGTTGGTCGAGTGTTCGTGTTAGCGATGGTTGTGGTGTCCGTCATATGGATCCCTGTCATCCAGTGAGTTCTGTACCTATTTACTTTTTCCTTAATATTTGGGGTATTTGTGTATGAGTACCCCATTGAGGGGCCGGGATTTGAGCCCCAGGAGAGGATTAACGTTGAGCGTGTTTTCTTACCCCTGCTGCCCCATTTCGTTTAACAGTTTAGCCGCCTAGTGTGAGCCGCATTCTGCAAAAGAGGATTATAAGGGGCCCCAATGTAAATAAGCCAGACTTATGACGTGGCTTTATTGGGTTATCCAGGGTTATTAAACCCGCTTATCTTCTAATAGACGTTAGGAATAATACAAAACGGTTACAGGATAGGATTATTATTATTTACTATTATAGGAAAACACTAAAATCTTTGGGGTCATAAAGCCCCCGGGAAATGGGAGGCAGTCTTATACCTTTAATCAAGATCTTTTCACCTGCATAAAGGCACCCTTAAAGTGAGTGACAATGTGAATTATTATTATTACGTTACTTATCATCCTCTAGGATGATAAGTAACGTACATTTTAATTGGATTAGTTTTTTTTTATTTTAACTGGTTTTAATCATAAGGAAATATCTACCAATAGGGTGTTATTGGATCCCAACTGGTTTTTAAATACGATAACGGTGAATCATGTATCATCGTGTTTCACAGTTTGTCATTTTTAATTAGGTTTGATTACTGTCCCACAGAAACTCGGCAAACTCTCAGTTGTTTGTTTACATCCAGAGTATTTCATCGTTCTTGTCACCGCCCATATGTGCCATCTACCTCCTCGCTATATTCTGGCCAAGGACCAATGAGCCTGTGAGTAATATGATATCTTCATGGGTAACATTATATAAAATACCGACAAATGTGAAATAAGTCACATTCAGTATTGGGTTATTATATTGAGGAAACGTTTCGCCACGAATGGCGATATGGACCGCAGAAGCCATTCGTGGCGAAACATTTCATCAGTAAAATATCTCAATATTGCACGTGTCTTATTTCACATAACTTTATATTGTACATCTTGTACTAAAATCTACACATTCCAAGCAGGTGAAAGACTGATCTTCCTAATAATGTCCAGTTAGTTAGGTTTGAAAGCGTTTGAGTACACAAAAGTTGGGGAAAATCATCTTGACAGTTCTGTTATGTGATAACCGGTTTACTAGTTAGTTTAATATCTTTATTACGCACCCCATACCCATCCTGTGGGCAGTAGTCAAAAGGTACAAAATGTGTCCAGGGACTGGACCGCAGTTTTGATAGCTGAACAAGTTGCAATGGTAATGAAGTATTTACATGTTTGTATCTGGTTATTTACATGTTTATATCTGAGTTATTTATGCAGAAATAAATTAGGTCACAAACGCAAAAGAAAAGTGAAAATGCTTTATTTACAGGGAACAAAGTCAGGGTATTTTTTCCAGAATGGTTTTTAATATACCACTGTGGATAAAATGCTTTGACATTTCTTGAACATTTCTGAGTGAGTTGTCTCTTAATTCATTAATTTTATCGCATTCCAGTACATAATGACGCAGGGTGTGACAATAGTCCATCTAGCAAAGTTTACATTTCGTTTGGTCTACATCTGGCGGTAGTGATTTAACCTGCCAATGATACTGGTAACAGCCTTAGCCAGGTGGTAGTGACATCCAAGAGTGCTTATTAAACTAACAAGGCAGAGACCATCGGCCATTAAGGACTCTGTCCTCTTAAACGCTCAGCATTAAAAAAAAGCATAGTTAATTCCCAGGAAATCGCTAAACCCGTACGGGTCTTACAATGATTAGGGAACAGGAGGTAATCAGATTTGATCTGAGGAAAGGGAGAGTGGCTTCAACTCCTTGGATTACGAGAGCTGTCCACCATTTTTTTTTTTTGAAAGGAGCTAGTGTCGCTTATAGTAATATATTGTTTTCAACTATAATATATACATATTTTTTTTTTTGCAGGGAGCCTTCTGGGGCCTCATTGTCGGCCTAATTATTGGGCTTACCCGCTTCGTGCTGGAGTATGCTTTCGTCGTCCCCGGGTGCGGAGGTAGGTCTATCCTTGGTCACAGTAGTCCGTGTGATTTATTATAAATCAAATACCTAGATGACCAGTTGCTTCACTTCATTCAGTAATGCAAAATCAAGCATAGTAGGGCTGTAAACACGACCAGTTGGAGATGGAATTATATTTATCCGTGGTATTTATTAGTACAATGGCACTTACATAATATGACTAAACAGAGATCCCACTCATTTCTCAGACGAAGACCAGGACAAACGGCCCGAGTGGATCAAGATCATTGTGGGAAACGTTCACTACTTGCACTTTGGGTGTATATTGTTCCTCATCGTCTTGGCAGTAACCGTGGCTGTGTCTTTACTTACAGAACCCATACCTGAGAAATGTGTAAGTTCAAAAACAAACGGTCGATGAAATAATTATTATACTCGCAAAAATGCGTCAAACCAATGTAGTTAATGAAGAGCGGTGAATGTGAGAAAAGATTTGTATATATACATAGGTACTGTGACTTTGTAGTGTCAACCCATATTGTACTTCATTAACGTCGTTACTCTGCTTCTCAGCTGCACCGGCTGACGTATAGTACCCGTCATAGTCAAGAGGTGCGTGTATCCATCAGAGAGTGGAGAAATGAAAAAGATTCCATAGACAAAGTCCACCTTGAGCCTACTCCTGATAAAAATAGCAACAGCAAAGCTAGTGTGCATTCCAGCAACATGCAAGGTAGGATATAAATAGTGACGCAGTTTTCTAGTAGATTAATAATTATCTTGCATGAGTGAAGACCAGGAGCTTTTTTTTTTTTTACAGTCTCATTTCAGTAGTATGTAACAGAATATGAGCTAAAGTGTACTGGTGTACCTTCAGAACTGCCTGCCTGGCGGCGCTGTATCAACTGTCTGTGTGGGGTTAGTACCCAGAACATCAGTGTCTCGCAGGAAAATCCTGCCGATGAAGAGACTCCAGAGGAAAGAGCCAAAAAAGCTGCAGAGTTCTTAGAGGAAAGGAAGCCTTGGACCAAGTAAGTGTATTGTCGTGTTCCTTTTTTTCAGTTTTTTCTGCAAACACTTTTAATGCACTTAAGCCTTAGATTATATAAGAGCCTCTTACTAGCATCAAGACACCCATCGTTAGAGGAAATACACGACAAATAAGGTGACAAAAAGAACCAGAAGACATCAGTTATTTGTGAATTGTTCCAGCTACGGTACTATGGTTCTTTTTATCCTTGGGGGTAGTATATATTTGAATAAAATACTGAATAATTCTAACGCCCGACGCTATTTCCCGATAAATTTTACCTTGCAGTAAAATGTTAATAAGAACGTGTTTGCCTCTTACAGTGTTGTGGACGGTATGGCTATCTTCGTCATGACGATTGCTGGATTCTTGTGGGGATTCTACGCCTAGATCAAGCTTATCAATGTTGGTTGTTGGCTTCTTGGGAGGGGGGGAAAGTTTCTGTAAAAGAGTCTAGATCATCCTCATCAATCTCTGATGGTTGCTGGCTGCTTGAGGGGATTCTGTACAGACAAATCAATTTCGTCAGTCCCTGATGGCTGCTGGCTTCTGGGGATAACACATCTAGATTCAGTTCACCAGTCTCTGAGAACGCCAGCTACATTATAGACACGTGAAGGGTATGCTTCGAGATCAGCAAACGCTACTATCAAGTTTAACAAAATCAAAACGTGTCAGATATTTTCTTTCTAACCAATAATGTCTATAGCTATACTGTATATGTGTTTTTTATGTAAATATAGTTTTTACAAGTGAATGTACGTGCATAGCGACTGCACTACTGGAAGACTGCCAACGTTCTATCAGTATTAAAAACGTAAGAGACAAGAGGCCCTAAACTACAGACCAGCATTGATAACATACCATCTAAGGTAATAGTGAGCGGGATAAATATCATTATGACAGGTTTGGAGATGGCAAATACTGTCTTCGAATCCTAATACCATTTCATGATAGGTTAAATGAGGACAGGCAATTGAAAAGGAGCCTTCGTGTTTCTAGACTACAAGAGTGCATTTGTTGCTGTACCTTACGGGGAAGATTTAAGCCAGTGCTCTTTTTTTTCTGATACAATCTACACTATATCATGTCCTGGCCCCTCTGATTTTAAACACTATAGTTTATGATTAGCTAAAAAAAAAAAAGTTACGCCTGGATGATAAATGATCTCACTCTCGATGCAGAAATATATTCTATGTACCTTTTGCAAATGAACTATGTCCACAGTTACACATCAAAATGAGCTAATCCGAAGCAGAGGAAAAAAACAGGATGATGGGGGAATTCCTGGGTTTGCTTGTAGACAATACATACTTAGTGCTCATATTATAGAAACTGCAGGTATACTTTCTAAAATTTGCTATTTTATTCCCCAGTCCATACGACACACTTTCTCATTTATCCTATGCTGGTGATAGGCTCTTAATCTAAGGATCGAACCTATTGCCTTCCACTTCCCCAGGTGCTCGCCATCGCTGTATACACAGATGGCTCCAAGTCTTTGACGGCGTCGGATTCGCAGTGTTTCCGGACAGTGTCGTGAGTGGGCATTTACTATCCTCGGCTACCATTTTTACTGCTGAATTGTGTGCCATTCTTGTAGCACTTATCCGTATTGCATCTATGCCCGTGTCACCATTTGTGGTTGTTTCAGACTCCCTTAGTGCTTTACAGGCTATACGAAAAATTGATACACATCCTTTAGTTCTCCTAATCCAACTTTGGTTACGCCGTATCTCTACCAAGCATAAAGATGTTTTTTTTTTTTTTGGGGGGGGGGGGTCCCTGGTCATGTTGATGTACAGGACAATGAACAGGCAGACACTGCTGCGCGGTCAGCAGTTTCATATAGAGGTGTTCCATTCACGGGCTATTTTGCTGTAATTACTTCCCACCTTCACACGCGTTGGCAACAACGTTGGTCTGATCTGCTCAATAACAACTTCGTTCTATTAAACCGAGTCTAGGTTACTGGCCGTCTTCATGTCATCAGTGTCGAGGTTGGGAGACTACTCTCTCCCGTCTTCGCATTGGCCACACTTCTTACTCACGGGTATCTCATGGAGAGGCGCCCTGTTCCTCTCTGTGAGAATTGTCAGGTTCCAGTATCTGTTAGCCACATTCTGTTAGATTGCCCACACTATCAACGAGCACGCAGAATTTACCTCCAACGTCGTCTCCGCTCTGCTGCTCTCGCTTTACCTTCCCTTCTTGCTCACGGACCCTCCTTTAATCCGGACTCTCTCATTGACTTTTTGACAACAACTGATTTACTCCGCAATCTCTGATGATGTTGCCTTTAGCACTCCCCACAGCCCTTTCTACCTCAATCTCTTGCTACCCTCTACCCCGACCCTATCCAGTGCCCTGCTGTCCTCCATAACCTACTAATCATCCCTCTCCCTTTTGCCACCCGATACTCTCGCTTCCTTCACTGCCCAGCAGCGCTGTATGGCCCTTGTGGTTTAGCGCATCTTTTTTATTATAATCCCCCAAGTGCTGCATAACTCCTGTGGGTTTACCGCTCCTCTGAATGTAATAATAATCTTATTTACCTATACCTCACCTGTTGAATATGTGTTCCAGCTCATTTGTCCACCTAAACCACTTATCACGCAACAAAAACTATCAAAACCATTACAGAGTCAACTTTAAGGCAATACTGGTCCCTTATTCACCTCTAAACCCACTAAATATTAATGCTATACATACTGCTGCTCACATACTGGAAGCACTACACTAATGCTGATGCTCACTTAAGACACTTCCTGGAAAACTGTAAAAAGAGTACAGGCATCACACTAAACGTGTGCCCCTGATATCCCTTGCGTTCACCTTAACCTCGAAAGAAACTATGCGAATAAAACGGTCACGAATGTGGAATAACTTGCTTGATGAATATGATTTTTAAGCAACATAAAAACTCATTAAACTGTTACTTTAAAATCACATTACACCAGGTTCCTTAATTTTTTTAAAGTTTATTCATGTCGCCAATCATTAATTACATTACCGCATCCTTATCTGCATTTTACTTTTCTCTGAATTTAATTTTTTCTTTAGATTGTAATTTAATTTTTTTTACTAAGTGCTCAGTTTGCGCTAAAATTTATATTGCATTATTATTGAATTTTATATATGTATATATAATGTCTAATACATTAATATACATATGTCCAGTATATTTTTATTTTTATATTAATATTAATCCTAGCTTAAGTCTGCCCGACCGGCGAATAAGAAAAAAAAAAAAAGTTATGCATGCCCATGGGCTTTTCCCTGTAAAAAATATACATACACTGTTAACCTATTAATCCACCATGTTTGAAAATAAAGTTATTATCTCTATCATTTTCATAATCATTATCATAGAAGTGCAAAATAATGAAAATAGAAACTGAGAAAGAGGTAGGATATAACGTACCAGCTAATCTTACGATGTCAAAGAGTTGAACAATGAAAAATACAAGGGTATATATACACCGAGATTTGGGAAGTATATATCTATATATATGCCGAGAGTTTGCTTTAATCGTTATATTAGGGATTACAGTATTCTTGAGTGGTGTACAGATGATATAAAGCTTCAATAACACTCGTGTTGCCGACAGTATTTCAAAACTTGGCAAACCAAATTATCATAAATGAGGAAAAATCCTCGAGAGTAAAAACCACACTGAAATAAGAGTAAGACACGTGCAACAGCTGGACAACTTTATTGTTTAGTGAAACGTTTCGCCTACACAGTAAGCTTCAGTCAAATACAGAGGCAATGAAAAGTAGAGACAGTCCTCGATGACGCACTTGAATTTCTTGGCTCCTCAAAGAAGGTTCCTTGATGCTGGTGAAGGGCTCTTGATCTAGGGGATGGGATCTATGCCCCAGTTCCCTAAATTAAGCCTGAATACCTTCCACACCCCCTCCACAGGCGCTGCATAATCCTACGGGTTTAGTGCTCCCACTTGATTACAATAATAATTGACTTTCTTGGGATATCCTGGGTAACTAACCCTCCTGGTTGACTGTCTTGGATTATCCTGGGTAACTAACCCTCCTGGTTGACTTTCTTGGGTTATCTTGGGTAACTAACCCTCCTGGTTGACTTCCTTGGGATATCCTGGGTAACTAACCCTCCTGGTTGACTGTCTTGGATTATCCTGGGTAACTAACCCTCCTGGTTGACTTTCTTGGGATATCCTGGGTAACTAACCCTCCTGGTTGACTGTCTTGGATTATCCTGGGTAACTAACCCTCCTGGTTGACTTTCTTGGGATATCCTGGGTAACTAACCCTCCTGGTTGACTGTCTTGGATTATCCTGGGTAACAAACCCTCCTGGTTGACTTTCTTAGGTTATCCTGGTTAACTAACCCTCCTGGCTGACTTTCTTGGGTTATCTTGGGTAACTAAACCTCCTGGTTGACTTTCTTGAGTTATCCTGGTTAACTAACAATCCTGGTTGACTTGGGTTATCCTGGTTAACTAACCCTCCTGGTTGACTTTCTTGGGTTATCCTGGTTAACTAACCCTCCTGGTTGACTGTCTTGGGTTATCCTGGTTAACTAACCCTCCTGGTTGATTGTCTTGGGTTATCCTGGATAACTAACCCTCCTGGTTGGCTGTCTTGGGTTATCCTGGGTAACTAACCCTCCTAGTTGACTGTCTTGGGTTATCCTGGTTAACTAACCCTCCTGGTTGACTGTCTTGGGTTATCCTGGTTAACTAACCCTCCTGGTTGACTGTCTTGGGTTATCCTGGGTAACTAACCCTCCTGGTTGACTTTCTTGGGTTATCCCGGGTAACTAACCCTCCTGGTTGACTTTCTTGGGTTTATCCCGGGTAAACTAACCCTCCTGGTTGACTTTCTTGGGTTATCCCGGGTAACTAACCCTCCTGGTTGACTTTCTTGGGTTATCCTGGGTAACTAACCCTCCTGGTTGACTTTCTTGGGTTATCCTGGGTAACTAACCCTCCTGGTTGACTTTCTTGGGTTATCCCGGGTAACTAACCCTCCTGGTTGACTTTCTTGGGTTATCCCGGGTAACTAACTCTCCTGGTTGATTTTCTTGGGTTATCCTGGGTAACTAACCCTCCTGGTTGACTGTCTTGGGTTATCCTGGGTAACTAACCCTCCTAGTTGACTGTCTTGGGTTATCCTGGGTAACTAACCCTCCTGGTTGACTGTCTTGGGTTATCCTGGGTAATTAACCCTCCTGGTTGACTGTCTTGGGTTATCCTGGGTAACTAACCCTCCTGGTTGACTGTCTTGGGTTATCCTGGGTAACTAACCCTCCTGGTTGACTGTCTTGGGTTATCCTGGGTAACTAACCCTCCTGGTTGACTTTCTTGGGTTATCCCGGGTAACTAACCCTCCTGGTTGACTTTCTTGGGTTATCCTGGGTAACTAACCCTCCTGGTTAAAAATCCGAAGAAAACCTTATAATCATGTCCTCTGGACAATTTTTGTAAGTATTTAACCTCGAGGAGAAGGGGAAGAAAATTCTAACACAATTATAACTATGGAAAACTTTCATAATTTTCCTGTGATTTGTGTAATAATTGCTGGGGTTAAGAGTGTTAATATAACCTAGTGTAGGAGTGTAGTATTGGTGTGACTTCAACGGTGATAAGCCACAGAGAAACCAACATTCCCCTATAATTTCCTTATTTATGGTAATCAGTTAATTAAGTAAAATGTATTTGTCATAATATTAGAAAAATTAATATACGGATGAGAAAAATGTATTATGCACCTCGAAATGTCATTTGAGTTTAAATATGTGTATGAGATTAACGTTTTAGGGGGAGCCGGGAATATGGCGTAATATGTATATTTTACTAATTAGTGGTGTAAAATAAAGGATAAAAATGAAAAAACGAGAGTGTTAACAGCATGAGGAATTGTAGCACCACGTGTACTACAATAATTTATGTTCGCCTCATATTATAATTATGGGGGAGCGCTAAACCCTTAGGATTAGTATATCCCGTGGTAAATTAGACACATGTGCAACTCTTGGGTATCTTTATTGAGGAAACGTTTCGCCACACAGTGGCTTCATCAGTCCATACGAAGGAGAAACTTGAAGAACAGGAGGAGAATGAGGTAATCAGTCCCTCAACCTTGAGTCGATGTGTTCAGTCCATCATGGACTGAACACATCGACTCAAGGTTGAGGGACTGATTACCTCATTCTCCTCCTGTTCTTCAAGTTTCTCCTTCGTATGGACTGATGAAGCCACTGTGTGGCGAAACGTTTCCTCAATAAAGATACCCAAGAGTTGCACATGTGTCTAATTTATCAACATGTCGGTTCTCTGAACCATTCATCTACAAAAAAGTATATCCCGTATGTGGAGGGGAGGATGGAAGTAATTTAGGCTTAATTCAGGGAACTGGAGCACAGATCCAATTCCTTAGATCAAGAGCCCCTCACCAGCATCAAGGAACCTCCCTTGAGGGGGTTCGCCTCACAGTGTGTATTAAAGTTCACACAAGAGGTACATTTATTATTATTATAATCAAGGGGGAAGCGCTAAACCAGGAGGATTATACAGCGCCTGGGGGGGGGGATGTGGAAGGCATTCAGGCTTAATTCGGGGAACTGGAGCACAGATCCAATTCCCTAAATCAAGAGCCCCTCACCAACATCAAGGAACCTTCCTTGAGGGGCCAAGAGGTACAACAGTTAGTGGTCTGGTGGCTAAAGTTCTCTGCAAATCACATAGAACAAAATGGTAAGACTGGTCCTGGACCTGGTGGGCTCAATAAAATCAGACGTCTTCGAAATCTAACATTTTTTTTCGAACACTGCTGTTTATCATTCATTTTAATTAATTTATTTGTAATTCAATTTAATTTCCATGTTGAGGGCCCCCCAAACCTAATGTGCCCCGGGCCCCCCCAAGTCTAAGGTTCCGGGCCCAGTAAGGGCTCTTTGATCCAGGGAATTTTTAATGCCCACCCCTTTTTTTGATCAAACCTGAATGCCCTCCCATTTCCCCCAGGAGCATTTATCCCCTACGGATTAACGCCCCCTAGACTGTAACTAATCTTGACGCCTCCTCCAGGGGAGGTTCCTTGACGCTGGTGAGGGGCTTCTTGATCAGGGAATGGGATCTGGTGCTCCAGATCCTTGTGAATTAAGCCTGTTTGACTTCTTCCATCCTCCCCCCAACAAGCGCTGTTAAATCCTATAATCCTACGGGTTTACGCTTCCCCATGATTATAATAAAACAACTGTTGATGTGTACACACAAGTACCCAAACACTAATGTACACTTGGTCCTGGCGAAGGAGGTTACTTCACACCAGAGAGGAGGCTCTTGATCCAATGGAATCCGACCTGATCTCAACCTTCCTTGGGAATCTTTCCTGATCGCCTTCTAGGCCTTCTCCAGGCGCTGTTCACGACCATACGGGGTCTAGTGCTCTACCCAATTAACATATCGTGTTGTCACTAAAGCTTTAAACCGAATAATGGCGAATCAAAGAATGCCGCGTGAAGGCTTTTGATCCAGGGAACAAGCTTACTCTTCCTTGGATTGAAAATTTGGAACCCCATTCTCTCTCATTACCCCAGACGTTGTATGCCCCACGGTTTAACGCATCAAAGTTTGAATATAGAAAATAATATAATGCAGAAGCCATAACCTGTAATAGTCAAACAACAAGTGAGGAATGTAGAGGTAAATAGAAGTACAAAAGCAAAGAAATGAAAAGGTACTCCAGTTCCCTTGAAATCAAAGAGCCCCTCCAGCACAAGGTCCCCCGTTAGAAGATGCACATAATATTTAATCTTATATTTCTTCTATAATGATATTGTTTAATATAAACTGTTCTAATAACTCAACTAGGTAAATATTTAATTATTATTGTACAGTTTTGTTGAGAAATTAACGTATAAAACATTGACTTGAATTTTGTAAATTTTAAAATATGTAGAGGAAAACGGATCCCTTGAATGGACGAGAACCTTGATCCAGGTAAATATATCTTACCCGTCGGAGTTTCTTCCTTGGATCAGACCCTGCACTTCTCTTATTCTTCTCCATGGCGGAATATAACCCCTAGACAGTTGAGAGCTTTCCCATAAAAGCAAAAGAGAGAAACCTTTTACATTAGAAGGTACGTTGGCGCCAGCCTGACAGAGTACACTGAGACCAGGGGACTATAACACGTTCTCCAACTCGACCATACCCTCCATTTTTTTATTTTTTTCATTCTTCTATTCTTGCTCCTTGCCAGAGAAGCTCTAGAGCCTGCAGATATGAGTGCATGAAGAAGGCTTCTATCAATAGAAAGTGTATGAAGTATGTGTCCACTCAACAAGAGCGCCAATTACAGTGGTG